GACACGCAAAGAAATCCTCGAGCACCGAAGACATTTTGTTCGTATGTTTTATGCACAATAACACAAACGAAACTACTAGCTAACACACGTGAGATGCTGTTCACTCAAAATACAATTCCCATAAGCCACTGCTTCAAAAAGGAATTACGTCACTGTATTACGCAACCTCATTCACAAAAGTCAAAACACAGCGAAATAAACTACACTAGACACGCAAACTCAACGATTAACCTTTTTTATTTCTGTAGAATGGATTTGCCATTTAAATTATAAGAGAACTCCAGCTCCTAACTCAGAAAAACACTAACTAAATCCTACCTAGTCTTCAGAGATGTACCGGGCTCGAGGCGACATTAAACGCTGAACTCGGCAACTATCAGTCAAACTGAAAGTCCGGAAGCGTACCCCCAACAGAGAATTAATCTCCACCCAGGATAACCTCCAAAAACAAGAAAGGAAAAATAACAAAACAAAATAACAAACAGTGTTCCGTCGGAATGATTGTAGTTATATTAGATTGTAGTTATATATTATAAGGATTGTAGTTATATATTGCGGCGGCGCGGATTGATAGAAATGGATAGAAAATAGTGCCGCATTAAAACTGAGGTGTGAATTTTGACCGGCGTGTTTTTGTGTGGTAAATTAATCAAGCTTTGAAATGCAAATCATTTTTTTCACGTAAAAACGCACAGTTTTGTGGCCCCGAAAATAGCCGGGAGTACTTCATTTTAAAACTTCCAGCGGTCAGAACTCTGAACAGGGGGTGACAACAGAGTGGGTCAGTGTGTATGCACTATAGTGCTGGTAAGGATTGCATACAACTTCATGTCTTAAATGGGCGAACTAACCCTTTAAACTTTGGGTTCAGTGAGGGTGATGGAAGAAGACAAGGGGTCGGCGAATACTGGAACTTGTGTGCCTTTAATTCAATAACTCAGTCCACGGCGCCTCAGCGCATCAAACACAAAATTAGACACTGTAGATCAAACTCTTCCCGCTGCATACAGCTTTCTCCGTCTCCGACGTGACACTCTTCCCGCTGTTCACAGCTTCCTCAGACACGGTCAGGGACCAACTCGGATTCCTCGCACACAGCTCTGCACACGGCCACACAAACTCCAGGTTCTCACTCACAGCACTGTCCACCTGGCCCGCTTAAATGCGCTCTCCTCTGCCAATCACTGAATTCACAGACAGGTGTTCATCGTTTGAACTTGACCCACTTACTTCCCGCTCGGCTCCTCACCCGCTCTCCCGCTGCAGACACCGCTGAACCACGCCCCCCACGCCACATACCCCCACTGCCCGACTCAGGCCGGGGAGCTGTCCGGCCTGTAGCCTTCCAAACCCCCCCCCCCCCTTCTTCGGGAGAGAAAGTCTGCCACAGCCATCTCTGCACCCGGCCTGTGGATCACCTTAAATTTAAAAGGTTGTAGTGCTAGATACCAACAGGTGATCCGCGCGTTGGCATCCTTCATGCGGTGGAGCCACTGCAGAGGAGAGTGATCAGTACAGAGGGTGAACTCTCGACCCAGGAGATAGTAGCGGAGAGTGAGAACGGCCCATTTAATGGCTAACGCCTCCTTCTCAATGGTGCTGTACATCGTCTCTCTCTTAGAGAGCTTACGACTGATGTACAGCACCAGCCGCTCCGTCTCTCCTCCATCTCCTGGGTCAAGACTGCACCCAACCCCCTGTCTGACACATCTGTCTGCAGAGAAAAAGGGAGAGAAAAGTTAGGAGCCTGTAACAGCGGGCCACCACACAGGGCAGCCTTTATCTGGGTGAAGCCTGCTGACACTGCTCCGTCCACTGGATGGTATCCGGCGCCTCCTTTTTAGTTAGATCAGTCAGCGGGCTAGCAAGGTCCGAATAATTAGGCACAAACCTTCTATAATATCCTGCTAGCCCCAAGAACTGTCTAACCTCCTTTTTGATCTTGGGCCTCGGACAGGTCGCAACCGCTGCTGTCTTGTCAATTTGGGGACGCACCTGCTCATGACCCAAGTGGAAGCCCAGATACCTAACCTCCACGCGCCCAATCGCATTCGGATTATCCGTGAGCCCCGCCCCTCTCAGCGACTTGAGGACCGCTCGCAAATGCTGCATATGCCGCTGCCAGTCATTACTATAGATGATAATGTCATCCAAGTATGCCGCGGCATATGCAGCATGCGGCCGTAGAATTCGGTCCATCAACCGCTGGAAGGTGGCGGGTGCCCCAAACAGACCGAACGGAAGTGTGACAAATTGGTGTAATCCGAACGGCGTCGTGAAAGCAGTCTTTTCCTTAGACATTGGAGATAAGGGGATCTGCCAATAGCCCTTCGTTAAATCCAGTGTCGAATAAAAGCGAGCTATGCCTAGCCGATCGAGTAACTCGTCAACCCTTGGCATTGGATACGCATCGAATTTCGATACGGCATTCACTTTGTTGTAATCCACACAGAACCGGACGGAGCCGTCCGTTTTAGGCACTAAAACTATCGGGCTCGCCCAGTCACTGTTGGATTCCTCTATTACCCCCATATCCAGCATCGCCGCTAATTCATCCTGAACTACTTTTTTCTTGTGTTCTGGTAACCGGCTGCGCACAACCACGTCCGGCTCGGTCTCAACATGGTGCTGTATGAGATCTGTTCGCCCATGGAGAGGCGAGAACACATCCGCGAACTCTGTTTGCAGATGTTTTATGTCAGCGATCTGGGACGGCGAGAGGTGGTCTCCGCAAATGGCCAGAGGGGAGGATTGTACTTTTACATTCGCCTCTGGCCCGATATCCTCCTCCCCACTCATCACAACCTCGGGGGGGGAAAACCCCGTGGAGGCTTGCGGGACCTCCCGTACAGCGAACAAGAGGGGTTCTAACCATTTATCCCAATTTTTGGCGTCCTCCCGCACGAACTTACGAACCATGGATTTCGACGTGCGATTAAATCGTTCCACCAAGCCGTCTGTTTGTGGGTGATAGACGCTGGTGCGAACCGATTTAATGCCCAATAACTCATATAGTTCGCGAATGGTGCGTGACATAAACGCCGTGCCCTGATCGGTGAGAATCTCTTTCGGGATTCCCACCCGTGAGATTAATTGAAACAGTGCACTCGCAACACTTTTAGCCGAGATGTTGCGAAGCGGCACTGCTTCCAGGTATCGCGTTGCATAATCCACCAGGACTAATGCAAAGCGATGCCCCCGTGCTGATCGTTCTAATGGCCCGATGAGGTCCATGCCAATTCGTTCGAAGGGGACCTCTACTAACGGAAGGGGGCACAATGGTGGTTTACTATGGGCCGGAGGGATCACTAACTGACATTCCTGACAAGACGCGCACCACCTGCGCACGTTCTCATGAATGCCCGGCCAGAAAAATCGGGTCATTAGACGATTTAATGTGGCTGCCTGCCCGAGGTGCCCAGCCATCGGATTACAATGAGCCGCCTGGAATAGCATTTCCCGACGCCTCTTGGGAACTAATAACTGGGTTGTATCTTGCTTTGTCTGGGTGTCCTGGGTCACCCGATACAACCTATCCTTAATCATGACAAAATAGGGATACGAGAGCGGCTGATCCAGCCGAACCTGCTGTCCGTTGATGACACGGACCTGCTCAAACGCATTTTTCAGCGTGCCATATCGGGACTGTTCCAGAGGAAAGTCATCACGATCCGAAAAGATTTTATTTTGGCCACGCTCGGTTCCTCTGAAACAGCCGCCGATGGTCCTGTCACAGCTTTGCCAGCCTGAACAGTCGCTCTCCTCTGGTGCCTTTGTTTTTGCCCAGGAGCACCCGCACACAAACATGCCAATAAAGATTGAAACCCCGGCCAATTGGTTCCCAAAATTAGCGGGTGCCGGAGGTGCGGATTAACGGCCACCTCCACACTATGCTTTTGTCCCCTAAATTGGATCATAACCGGCACGACGGGATATCCCATCACCTCGCCGTGCACACACCGCAGCATAACCTCGCGGCTCTTATCCAATGCCACTGGCTGAATCAAACTTTGATGGATCGAGGTCTGGTTACAACCCGAATCCACCAAAGCCTGATACATACCCCCCTTAATACTTACAGGTATTTGATACAGCCCAGTCTGATCGGGGGCGGCCTGTGGCACGTAGGGGACCCGAATCAAGGTGTCCACCTCCATCAGAGGACACCTATCAATGAAGTGGCCCGGGTCCCCACAGTGCCAGCAGGCCGGCCCAGGCCTCCCCGTCATCCCGGTGAAAAAATGCTATGAGAGCACAAATCTTCACTCCTAGCCAGTGGATAATTTACATATTAACCTCTAACACTGAGAGCCAATCACCAATGGTGTAATCAGGAGTGTGCACAGAGTACTGTGGGTGAAAGTTTTGTAATAACTGAGGTTTAAGGTGTGGGGAGGGCTACTACAGGTTATCACACAGTTTTCTGCTGGTGAGAAAGTTTCATCATTACATCAGGCAGCAGCATTTACCGAGTTTCATCTGCACTTAAGCAAAAGTATTGTAGCAAATTGCTACATTAATAATAATAATAATAATAATAATAATTCATTACATATATATATAGCGCCTTTCTGGACACTCAAATCGCTTCACATAGAGGAGGGAATCTCCTCAACCACCTCCAGTGTGCAGCATCCACCTGGATGATGCAACGGCAGAAGGCCCACCACACACCAGCTTACTGGTGGAGAGGAGACAGAGTGATGAAGCCAATTGGTATATATGGGGATGATTAGGAGGCCATGATGGACAGAGGCCACCCGGGCAAATTTGGCCAAGATGCCGGGGTTACACCCCTACACATTCATGGCTTTTTAAAATTACACATCATGGTAGATGTTGTAATCACTGATTACTGGTTAGACAGCTTTTATGTTGGATGGCTAGGGAGCAATTTTCAATTAGCAGTTTTCAGTGTTGAAGGCAGCAGCTTGATAATAAAGTCAGTATGGTGCATGGAGGCTCAAACCCATAGTCAACTTTTCTGTTTTGACATATAGGTCCGAGGCAAATGATCTGGCTCTGAGGTTGGCCTGGCAGTATACCAGCGGCAAAGACATCATCACACTGGAGAAGTAAGTCAACAGCACACTGGCTGTGTCTCCTCTTCCTCTGCACTGGGATCTAAACAGTAACTAAGTTCTTAGAAGCGTGAAGCTCATAGTTTAAATATTAACTTTATCTTAAGTCTTGTATCTGGACATACTGTAGAGAACATTCACATTGTTTTGCCTATGGGTATACATAGTTATCATCTGCCTTTGTTTTCAAATCCAATGGTGTGCAAAAACAAAGCATCACCTCGTCTTCAGGTTTATTTGAATGTAGGCCATATCCATTCAGAAATATAGCATGTGATTTTTTGTTCCTGGGCCACTTTTCACTCACATAAGCAAAATGGTAACACTTTACAATAAGGTCCACTAGGTCCATTATTAACTAGCATGAACTAACATGAGCAATACATTTGTTACTGTATTTGTTAATCTTCGTTAATGTTAGCTAATAAAAATAAAGCTGTTCATTGTTTGTTCGTTAGTTCACAGCGCATTATAACTAATGTTAACAATATTTTAGTAAAGTATTAGTAAATATTGAAATTAACATTTACAAAGATTAATAAATGCTGTATAAGTGCTGTTCATTATTAGTTCATGCTAACTAATGTAGTTAACTAATGTTAACTAATGAACCTTGTAAAGTGTTACCAGCACAATAATCATTAAAAGATAAGATACCTCAAGCCCTCTCAAACATTGTGGAACTTTGTTATGTTGATTCATTTGAGTTTTTCATTCAGTGTGTTTCTCCTGCAGTGCCTATCATGGTCATGTGTCATCGCTCATTGATATCAGTCCATATAAGTTTCATCAGAGGACTGGTGCAGAGACGTGCCAGCATGTGCATGTGGTGAGTTTTGCAACATGAGACGTTTGACATATTGGATTTGACGTTAGGTCACATGCACATAGTGCTCAGACACTATTCTTGAAGTCAAAAAAAAAAAAAATTCAGAGAAGGCCAAACTAATATGTGCAGCCAAACTTCTCACTACTTTTCTAATACTGTCACTTGTCTGTCCTGTCTTCTATCGCACTTGGGTGTCTTTGTTATGTTTTTGTTATGGGTGTTTTGCTTTGTGTTTTGTTTTCTTTTGTTAATAACTCCTCCATTGCTGCACTTGAGTCCTCCCTCCACTTTTTGTAACTGTACCGTGACAAATACATTTACACACACAATATATATATATATATATATATATATATATGGTATATATATGGTAATATGGTTATTAATATGTAAAAAACTCTTGTCCACCAAATAAGATTAATATGGTGTGACTAACAAAGTAATGTGGTGCAAACTACATCCAGAACAAAAACATAAAATAGGAAATGGCATCATAGAGCGGTGCAGTAGACCCTCATGACTGTGTGTCAAGTTCAATAAATGTCTTAAAATATCAGATATTTTCAACATACACAACTGCCAAATTGTGGTGGATGATTGTGTGGTATGTGTGTGTGAGGTAGTCTCATCACCTTATTATAAAGAACTCTTGGTGACTGTGGTGATCAGTCAGTATCATGTTACGTGCTAGGGAGCCACATCAGGATACGTAACAAGAGCATGTATTTTTTATGGAAAGTCTCTTTAGACGCTTCGTCTTTCTTTTCAGCCCTCTAATGTCGACATTATGCTGCATGTTTAAAGTGGAGTACAGTAAATCCAGGGGGCTTGTGACTTGAATGTTTTCCTTGCTATGGCATTGAAATACCTTTCTACAAATAGTGATAAGACAAACCATAACATTATTTTGTTTATAGCCAGCATGTTGTAGAAAGGATTAAGATCAGGTTAATCTTACTGCCCTGTCCTTACACTACCTTAATTGTTAATTTGATATAGAGTACAACTTTTTTTTTTTAGTGTTCACATTGACAAAATTATTTGTTAGATATAAATATTTATATTATGTATATAGTTTATATACTGGAGAAAAAAACATAATGAAGTTGATGTGTCATATTTTCAGTGTGAAAATCTTTATCTTATCAAAACTTAATATTATTAGAAATATTAAGCTTTTAGGCAGAAGTGTAAACACTTTGGCGCTACAGTATCAATGCATTGCTCTGTATTAGAGCATTTAGTCTGGCATAGTAACATTGGCTCATCCAATGGCATGAGTTTTAGACAGGACTGCCTTTTTGATAGACAAATAGAAATGGGGGACTGTTTGGAAAAACAAACAAAAGGGAAAAGGACATTATGTTTGCAATTCAATTTAACAAAACAAGGAATCTGCACACTAAACAAATTCTTTCCAAAGTCCTTTGAGGAAAATGTTTTACTGAAGATTTTCATATGAAGTGACAACAAAACACAAATGTGCACTAACTAAAAAGTGACTGAGCACCAAAAGTTTCAATCCATTCATCAGTGCTTAAAATATAAATCAACTGGAATTATACATTGTTCAAGGCACTAATTGACACCAAACAATTACCACAATTGGTAAAATTATGGTTAATTGATCGTTCAATGAATGGATAATTGATTTAAATCCCACACAGAGTAAACACTAATGCTCCAGCAACAAACAACAAAAGTTGCACCACAGTCTACATGGACAAAACAGTCTTTAATGGTGACCAAAAGAATGAACAAAAATAGTTAAATCAGTAAATAAATTCTTACCAGCACTATCAACTGTGGTAGTACATGCAATTAGAAAGAAAAAAAAAAGTACTTTATTTCAGCACAAATGGGGCTGCATATAATAGAACATGTGATATGGTAAAAATGACTACTCCCTGAAACTCTCTGCACTGAAGGGTCAAAGGAGAGTTTCAAGGAGTAATCATTCAATGCTGGTAAGATTTTTTTTTTACTTATTTACTTGTTCCCTTTCGTAGTCACTCCGAGTTACGTCAGATGGCGGAGAATGCGGGGTTTTGCATAGAAAGCCAATCCTCTTCGAGTATTAAAAAACGAGCCAATGGCAAAGAAATGCCATGGGTCTGCGGAATTTGCATAGCGTATCTCCGCCTTACCCTGTGAGTATAAAAGGAGGAAGCGGACGCAACCGCAGTATGTTTTCGCTTCGGAGCCAAGAGCATATCTTCACATCACAAGCCAAAAGACCTGAGTTTACAAGTGACTCACCTCTTCGAGACGAGCGGCTCTCCAGTGTTGGTGTGACGGCGGTACCCAGCGAGTCTTCACTTTGCCTGCGGCCTGTGTTGCGGTCTGCTGGACTCGGTGTTTTCTCCCTGGTTGCCTCAGCGCTGTAGAGCTTCCTCTCCTGAAAGAGTGCACGGTGATCGAGACACTAAGATCGAGACTCAATGATCTGAAAGTGAGAGTCCCCGTATCCTCCACCCGTTCTGCTTCCTCTAACAGGGCTAGTAGTTCAGCTGGGGGACCGGGTGATCTGTGGGTTACGGTGTGGAGTGAGGGTGTGCGTTGCCTCCCTCGGGAGTCGCAGCGTTGCCCGTATCGGCCGCGAGCATCGGGCTAGAGTGGAACCCTCCGCCCTGCCCCGTGCGCTCGCGGTTGGACGATTGGTTTTTGGGCGTGGCTGCCACCGCAAAGCCACAGCCAACACCAATTCCTTTCTTCCGGGTACTGCATGAGGAGTTGGCGAAGTCATGGAAGGCTCCTTTGACCTCCCATGAACGTTCGTCGGCTTTCTTCGCCTTTCCCCCCCTCGACGGCGCAGGTACAGGGGTCCCTACGGTGGAACGCTCTGTTGCGATGCAACTGTCTCTGCAGAGCGCGTCCTCTCGTGGTGACCCAAAGCACCCGTCCAAGGCCTGTAGGTTCTCGTCAGCTATGGTGGCAAGATCTTATAGAGCTGCAGGACAGGCGGCTCCTGCCATGCATGCGATGGGCACCTTGCAGGTCTACCAGGCCCAGCTGCTCAGAGACATGCACAAGGGCGGGACTGATCCAGGGACGTTTGACGAACTGCGTGCGGCCACTGACCTCACTCTCCAGGCGACGAAAGTGGCCGCACGCTCCCTGGGTCAGGTGAGGGCCACTAACGTGGTCCAGGAACGTCACATTTGGCTAAACCTGGCCGATATGCGGGACGCTGAGCGGACTCGTCTGCTTGACGCCCCCATATCCCAGGCTGGCCTTTTTGGCAGTGCGGTTGAGGACTTTGCCAAGCAGTTCTTGACCGCCCAGAAGCAGTCTGAGGCGATTAAACATATTCTGCCCCGACGGCCAGCTGCTGCCTCCACCCAGCCTTCGGCACAGACGCCTCAGCCTGCTCGCCGCCGAGGGCGCCCTCCTGCGGTCACCCGCAGGTCTTCGCCAGCCTTCACCCGGACCGCGTCGTGGAGGAAACCGCAGGAAGGCGCCACAGCCCCCTCAGCCCCCGCGCCCCGCTAAACGCCAGGCTAAGTGGCGGTCCTGAAACGGGCTGCTCAGTGATGGCATCACTTCTTTCTTCTCAGGAGGCGGTAGCAGGCCCCCTCCTTCCCCCGGTGGAGGGCCGGGGGAGAATCTTTTGTTCCGCTGCTCGTCCACGGGTGAGCAGTACCCTAATGTGGTTAAAGAAAGAATTGACACCATCACTGAGCACACAGAGCCGGATGGCAGTGTGCGACGCCCCCATGCCTTGCCAATCTCATCCTCCTCTGCCTCTGAGGGCGCGGATGATCCGTCCCCAGACCACACCGCTCTTATCCCCCTCTATCGCCAGACCCCTGGCAGAGCAGACCCCGGTGGAACGCTGGTCCTTCCCTGGTCTCCTCTGTCAGGGCGCGGAGCTTGCGGGGTCGCTACGCCACCCTCGTCTGTGCCGATCTCTCCGCCCCGCTGCCCCTCCGGGGGGACGCCTGTGGCTTGGATGATTCCGCTGGATCAGTTTTTTGGGGCTTGGTTAGAGCTCCCCAATCTGTCCCGTTGGGTCGCCCGAACTATCAGGCTCGGCTATGCGATTCAGTTCGCACGGTCTCCTCCCCGCTTCAGGGGAGTCCGCTTTACAGTGGTTGGTGGCAATGCCCCGATCATGAGAGCGGAGGTTGCTACCCTGCTGGCGAAGGGTGCAATCGAGGCCGTCCCTCCAGCCGAGATGAAGTCAGGGTTTTACAGCCCCTACTTCATTGTCCCCAAGAAAACCGGTGGGTTACGACCGATTCTGGACCTGCGCGTTTTGAACCGCACCCTTCACCGGCTGCCGTTCAAGATCACGGCCAAACGCATTTTCGAATGTGTTCGTCCCCAGGATTGGTTTGCAGCGTTAGACCTGAAGGACGCCTACTTTCATGTCTCCATTTTACCTCGACACAGACCGTTTCTTCGGTTTGCTTTCAAGGGGCAGGCATATCAGTACGCGGTTCTCCCATTCGGACTAGCCCTGTCTCCTCGCGTCTTTACAAAGATTGTCGAGGCGGCCCTTGTTCCCCTTCGTGAACAAGAGGTTCGCGTCCTGAATTACCTCGACGACTGGCTAATCCTAGCACACTCTCGAGATCAGGTCTGCGAACACAGGGATGTTGTGCTCTCTGGCACCTAGCCCGTCTGGGCCTTCGGGTCAACTGGGAGAAGAGCAAACTTTGCCCCGTGCAGAGGATCTCTTTTCTCGGCATGGAGATAGACTTGGTCGCCATGTCCGCGCAGCTTAAGAGCGAGCGCGCACACTCACTGCTGACTTGTCTTCGACAGTTCGAGGGCAAGAGTGCGGTCCGACTGAAACTTTTTCAGAGGCTCCTGGGGCATATGGCATCCGCAGTCGCGGCAACGCCACTCGGATTGCTTCATATGAGACTGCTTCAGCTGTGGCTTCGCGATCGAGTCCCGAGGTGGGCATGGCATCACGGTACGCTCAGAGTTCCAGTGACTCCGACCTGCCATCAGACCTTCACCCCGTGGAGGAACCTCAGCTTTCTACGGGCCGGTGTTCCCTAGAACGAGTTTCCAGGCATGTTGTTGTCTCCACAGATGCCTCTGCCACGGGTTGGGGCGCCATGTGCAATGGGCATGCAGGACCCCTGGACAGGACCCCAGCGCCTCATGCATGTCAATTGCCTCGAGTTGCTGGCAGTAGGCCTTGCCCTGCACCGCTTCTGTGCGTTGCTCAAGGGTCAACATGTACTAGTCCGTTCAGACAATACCGCAACTGTAGCATACATCAACCACCAGGGGGGTCTACGGTCCTGCCGTATGTCGCAACTCGCACGCCACCTCATCTTATGGAGTCAGAAGCACCTGAGGTCCCTTCGTGCTATCCACATTGCAGGAGTTCGGAACTGTGCCGTCGGTTAACTGGACGTCGGTTAGGTGCCTCCGTGTGCATGGTTCCTGCTAGTAACCCCCACATGTGTATTTCCACTGTAAGCCTCTCGGAGCATGTGTCTTCCCTCGGCAAGCCACCTTGCCACCCCTGGAGTTAAGATTCTAGCCACCATACGGGTTGGTGACTCCAGAGTTCCGACATAACTCGGAGTGACTACAAAAGGGAACGTCTCGGTTACATATGTAACGTTACGTCTCCCTGCCACTTCCGCTGTACCGCTGGGTAGACGCCTGAGTTCAGTCTCGGCTCCTCAGCGAAGACATACTGCGGTGGCGTCCGCTTCCTCCTTTTATACTCACGGGGTGACACGGAGATACGCTATGCAAATTCCGCAGACCCATGGCATTTCTTTGCCATTGGCTCGTTTTTTAATACTCGAAGAGGATTGGCTTTCTATGCGAAACCCCCCATTCTCCGTCTTCCGACGTAACTTCTCCGTTCCCTACTCAGGGAACGAGGGTTACATTCGTAACCGAGACGTTTTTGTTCATTAGTCACTGTCGACTAACTATTGGAGACAGTGTCCATACTGGCTGTGGTGCAATTATGGAAGAACAGTTTAAGACTTGAATTTAATGCTAAAAAAGTTTGGACTTGGAAACGACTACACCTTGAGGAAACAACAGACTATCCTGAGAATTAACATTTGAATACTCTCTTGCATAAGTAGCAAAGCCATCCGAGACGCACCACACCAAACAGTTTACCCCTCATCCTTACAGTCTCTTCATCACCCATCCCTCATGCTGGGATAACCTGAAATTCACCCAAAATTCTATATAATAATAATAATAATTTGTCACATTTATATAGCGCTTTTCTGGGTACTCACAGTGCTTTACATATGGAAGGCTGAATCTCCTCACCACCACCAATGTGCAGCATCCACCTGCATGATGCGACGGCAGCCATATTACGCCAAAACGCCCACCACACACCAGCTTATTAGTGGAGAGGAGACAGAGTGATGAAGCCAATAGGTATATTTGGGGATGATTAGCATACCATGATAGAAAGAGGCCAATGGACAAATTTGGTTTAATATGGTTTAATATGAACAATTATCATACAACACAATACATGTTTGGTATAATTTGAAATGTCTCAGTGTGACTGGTACAATGGTCTCATCCCCACACAAGTGAACCAAAAGCTAATAAGTGTACTTAGACTGTAAGACTAAAAGTAAATGTCTATTTATGACAGCAAAATGTTGCTTGACCAACCTATATAGGGTGAGTTTTACCTCTGTTTCATGTAATAATACTCTAGCTAAGTGTACCTGGGAAACCATGGAATGACCAAACCAAAGCTACTTCCATAGAAGTAATTTTGGTCAGCTTATATCTGCAGTAGTGGCCATGGCCTCTGACTAGAGATGTTGTTGTTTTAATTCAGGTATACAGAGCTATGGGGACATACAAAGTATCTTGGAGTAAGCGTGAATGCGACCATCTACGGTATTAGTCAATTACCTCTGTTTAGTGACCAAAAACTGGACGAGTTTGTGATCATGAGATGACCTCAAAGCAACATGGATTCCTGAGGAATGGGTAAAATATAAATTAGAGAGTTAAATAGAATAATCAAATGTGTAACTATTATATAAATGACCAATGATTGGCATTCCAACCTAGATTCAAGGTCATGATAACATGGAGTTAGATAAAAGTTGGAATTAAATTACTTTGTCACACTGAAAAGACAGTAACATGCAGTGAACCTTCACCCGCTTAACGGAAACTGCCGTAGGACCGATTGGGCAGGCCTTACAAACTCTTGAAGCATGTATTTTTTTTTCCTTGTAGACATTGTTATTTTTCTAGGTTAATACCTTTGTCAGTTTTGCTTAAAAAAGCACAATATAGAATAACTTGCTTCATAACCTGTAGATCCACAAATGTTGTTTATCTTTTTCGACTTGTCCAAATGGTTTACAGTACATTGTCAAACCAAATAGACAACTTTACTATTAACACTGATGGGCAGTAACGCGTTAGAAGTAACGTGTTACTGTAATCCAATTACTTTTTTCTAGTAACGAGTAAAGTAAGAGATTACAATTGAAAAAACAGTAATTAGATTACCGTTACTTCCCCGTAAACAGCCTGCGTTACTGCGTTAGTTAAACGTGATTTTGTTTAGTCAGACCGTCTCGTGACATGAGTCGTGCGTGAATAAAAATGATGTATGAGCGCCGCGACATCAGTGAGAGACGACTAGAGCGCGGGAGAGAGCAGCCGAGTTGCCAACTCTCATACACGCTCACACGACACACCCCTGATTTCTCGCGCTGAAGTGTCAATCCCGTCGGTCAAATGCCTGAGAGATGACTATATCTATAAATCTAACCGTTGAGCCACATTTGTGATTGACTAGTTTTACCGCAAATTTGTTAAAATCTCCCAGAATCTAGAGCGAGCGCGCATGCGAGACTGTGTTCCAAAGTCCAAACTTCGTATCGCGCGCACGACGAGGAGAGCGAGAGAGAGACTTGCGTACTATGCAGAGAGCATCCTGATCTGGAAACAGGACCCCGTTGGAGAATGTCAAAATTCTACCTCAAATCTGAGCAAGCTTGTCACGAGACAGCCTCACACGGTTAACTAAAGCAGCAAGCCGGTACAGGAATGTGAAACTTACTGAAAAAAAACCCTGAACCCCCATCTGACCGCTGCGGCTACATGCTGATGGGACATAACCACTGTTTAACTCCGTAAGAAAAAAAATAAATAAAACAGAAAAAAACTTGAAGCCAAAATACAGCATGCAACAGCATTTTCTGTTTTGATCAACTAATTTTTACTCCTCTCTGCACTTTACTGTTAAAAGACGTAAGTGTTAATAATTTGTAATATAGTCAGGAGCGACTTTCATGATTTTGTTGCTGTATTTTTACATCTATTCAAATGAAGGATTTTACAAAACATATTTATTTTATATGCTGGAATATGTAGAAATTTATATTAACAGAAGAAGGGCTGTCTTTATTTCATTAAAATATGGTGGAATGTGCAGAAAATAGGTTTAAATGTTCAACAATTTTCTTCTATTCTGAGACTGTTGCATTTAATTTAATTTTTGCTCGATGCAATGTGCATAAAGTTAAAATATTGAAATAAATAGAACAAGTTTAAAAAAAGAAAGTGTTTAATTTGATTACATTTTAGATGATGGAATATGCAGAAAGAATAGAATTAGGCTGAAAGGTCTATGCTTTAGCGTATTCAGGTCGTGCATCATGTGTTTGAAAAGTAACTTAGTAAAGTAACTAGTAAAGTAACTAATTACTTTTGAAAATAAATAATCAGTAAAGTAATTGGATTACTTTCTTGGAGAAGTAATCAGTAATCGGTAACTAATTACTATTTCCAAGTAACTTGACCAACACTGACTATTAATGAACATTTGTAGTTCTCTGTGTAGGGGTAATTTTAATCTCCAGTTAAGACATTTCAAGTAAGAAAATCACCCTGTCCATCTGTTTGTGTCATTGCTAATGTAGCCCACAGATATTCTTACAATGAACAAAGTGTACTACAGTATGAAAGTCGGTTAAAACTGATTAAACAACCTTAGATTCCAAATCTTTCTAGCTTGAAGTCTTTCCCACCTCTCTGTTGTTTGTTGCTGGAGCATGTGTGAAGGATTACTCCAGCCATGTGTGTGGGATTTACATTGATTATCCATAATCAATTAACCAGCATTCTACCAATTGTGTTAATTATTTTGCCTCCATTGTGCCTGCAATTAGTGCCTTCAACAATGTTTATACATTGTTGTAAGGCTGCCTTAATGCAGTTGATTTAAGTTGTAAAGATTTACATTAAAGAATGAAGATAGTCCAAGATGGGCTAAAACGTTTTTCAAAACATCTGTTTATTTTCTGTAAAAATATATATATATATTTTTTCACTTTTATTTTACTTGGTGTGGGGATTCTTACTTTTGTGTTTCATGTCATGTAAACTGAATCTACGCTCCCAGAAAATACATTTAATATACAGATTGGCACAATTCTTTTTCATATTTCAAAGGACGAAGGTTTTGCAATTAAATTTAAACTTGTATTTAAAATTGCCTGCCCAGTGAAGAGATTTATTTCGGCACTGTAAACTTTGACTTACTATTCATAAATGTGATAATTCCTTAGGCTCTCAGTCCAGACATTTATAGAGGCAAATACCGTGAGGACCACCCAGACCCTGCCACTGCCTATGCTGAAAATGTCAAAGACGTAATCGAACAGGCCCATGAAAAGGGACATAAGGTGAGTGAATGTCCACCAACGTTATTTAACATCCCAGATATCAGAATTATTCACTGACTGGGCCTTTAACCTGTTAACCTTCAGCTCCACAAGGGGGCTCACAGCTGAAAATGACATGCCTGGATAACAATAAATACAGCTCCTGAGAACAGTGTACCACAGGCACAATTAAGGTATCTTTGGAAAGAAGACAGTTGGGACTCTACTAACAATCAATCAGATTTGATAATGCTCAAACAGAAAAAAAGTTATAAAAGTTAAAAGTGCCTCAAAAATAATATGCGCCACAAAAATGTTTTAGTATTTCATGTACAAATATATAAAAATAGACCTGGAGTAATTCAGATAGATAAAGGATTGAAAGCCACAAGTCTCATCAGTTTATATTTCAAATTTGAGGAAGATATAATGAACAATGGGGTTCCTGCAAACTTTTTTCCAAGACTATGTCAGTTCCCTTTCTCCCCCCCTGCCTGAGGCACATCCCCAGAAATAACATGCCCAAACTAAATATTTGCAGTTGCTCAACTATTTGCACTACATGCACAATTTAGACATGTTTAAAAAGAAGACACTTTAGAGTGTATTACCCAACTGTTAAAGTTGAAAAAACTTACACAGACAAAAAGTTATAGAATTTAAAGTGTCTTGAAGATAATTTATACTGCATGTAATATTTTACAATTTCATGTAAAAATAAATGAAAACAAACCTGTAGGAATCCAGTTAGGTAATTGATTGAAAGACATAAGTCTCATCAGTTTATATTTCAAATTTGAGGAAGATATTATGAAAAATGAGATTCCTACAATATTTTTTCCAAGACTATGTCCAGGTACCAAGAAACCTCCTTGGATACATCAAAAAGCAACCTAATGACCAAATGTTATGCAGGGCACTGCAAGCTATTTCAGTCAATTCATAAAATAATGCAATTATAAAATAATACACACAACCATTAGACTTTATGCAAGTGATTTATTTGCACAACAGAACAAAAAAATATATGTAAAATACATAAGTAAAATATTATGAAATATAAAAAATAAATAACTGAGGTTCTTTGCAATAGAAAATACAAGTGATATAAATACTGTACTTTGTTGGCTTGGCCTTCATATATTGCTTTAGTCCATTCCTAGCTTTTGATGCCACCATCCTCTGGTCAATTGCAATGTTCTAAAAAGTATGGAAAAAGTGAAGAATAGTGAAGAAACTGAGAGCTTGCATCTCTGGCTGGTGCTTGGATGCCATTCATCATCTGAAGATTCAACTTGATGGCTGTTGCATGGGAAAGAATGGAAAGATAATTAGCACTGCATGTCAAGTAAATAATTCTGTTTAGTTTCTATATAGCTGGCCATTCATTCAACAATCAAAACTGATGGGCAGTCGTTTACACAGCATTCGTACTAAAGCTCATCCATTCAATCAACAATCAATGGCCAGTGATATAGACAGCATTCATATGGATGACCAGACAAAGAACAACAATCACACTGATGGCCGGCCATCAGACAGGAATGTGGCATTTTGAAAGCATACAACTCCTTCCTATATAGCACATATTTTCTGCAATTCTTCCCACCAATTTCTGCAAAAAAAAAAAACAATATATATATATATATATATATATACATACAACATATACATTTACAGTACAACATACATCATATTTACAGTACAAATATTTGCATTTGTACTATAAATATTATGTATATTAGACTGTAAAAATATACAGTATGTGTGCTAGGAAAAAATGTATATTGCACAGGTGTCCAGCCCCTCCATCCTTCAGATAGCACACCACATGTGCCAGAAAAAAACGGCAAACAACTGCATAACCGTACAACGCATATAAATACATATATACAAATAAATAAATGCATATAAAGTAGCATAATCTTTTCAGACACAACTTTACACAATGCATTTTCCGTATGAAACAACTGGAAACCAAACACAGTAACACACTCTCTCTCTCTCTCTCTCTCTCTCACCCACCCACACACACACAGACACACATACGTATAATGTGTGCATGTTACATAATTATGTATAAAGCAACTCACCGAAAATTGGATAATCTTTTCCGCCCTCAAGCATAATTATCACCGTCGTCACGATCTTCTCATCACTCATCTTCTCATCAATGTCGACATAATCCATCTTCGAGTGATCTCGAATAACTACTTCAGCAGAAAAATACTTCTTTTGACAAATCATTTTATGACAGTCTGCATGTCTGCACGAACAGATGTTTGTTGACTAGCTACCTCTTAGCTTGTTATCTTAGCTCTTAGCTATAGCAGGCCTGTCAAAACGGTCAAAACATGACCGCGGTGGGTGTGGCTCTGCAGAGCCTGAAGTTTAGCTCCTCTACCGGACGGAGAGCAAATAAAAACATATGTTCGTGTGAGAAATTCAAACTTCCCGGGCATCGTTGGAATCGTGCACTGGTTGGCTACATGTTTTACCAGTCATATCATGTCGTTTCTTTTATTGGCTTTCGTTATAAAGACAGAATGATATGATGTGCATATCATGACGTCAAAAAAACGGACTGCAGTGTTTGCATATTTTGAACTAGATATCGCTTATCTTTGTATTTGTGTGTGTGTGCGCGGTCGTAATTTGTTCATTACACTCTAAGCAACACACCCATATAAGGGTCTGCTACCGGGAGTCTGTTTTCTATGGACTATTTTATTGCATAACAAAACCGCATGATATTCACCCTGAAGAAACGCGATGTAAACAAAGGAATTACCATGGATATTACAACATTATTTTTTCTTTGGACAAAAAATGCTCTATGGGATGTTATTCAGTGGACCCTCAGCTTTCCATTCAATCTGGAATTTTTTAACAGTGGATGCGTGTCTGGCTCGTTATTACAAAATAATGGTGAGTACTCCGTTTTTGTTTACGTGCGTTTTTATGTGTACTGCTTACCTAAATGCAAGAAATACATTTGTTATAAGCTTTCCATCGAAAAACAGTGCACTGACATCGATGCCCGAGGCTTAGACCTTTAAAATTATATATAGTTTGCCAAGATTAATGATCTTCTTTCATGTTAAATCCATTCATAAACATTAAACTAGTGGGGGGGGGAGGGCTTCAGAGCGCCGTCGGTTGCCCGAAGGTTAACTGGTTAAACTTTATTCCATTACTGCATACCTTTTTTTATACCATGGTCTGGGTGAATACTCGATTCTGATTGGCTGCAGGGTGTCCGTTAAAAAGTGATAGAGAAAACGAATCGACTTCGAGTATAAAAGCGAGCCAATGACAAAGAAATGCCATGGGTCTGTGGAATTTGCATAGCGTATCTCCACCTTACCTCGTGGGTATAAAAGGAGAACGCCGACAATATGCAGATAAGGACTCCTATTTCGCATAGGAATACCAACATACACTGGGTACTCAATAATCAATGTCAGAGAAGATGCGATTAATGCCAACCCGGAAGGGGGGGACTTTAATCCACATATGACCCAAAGGAAGCATATGGAAAACACTGTAGTGTCCAGCTACAGGTGGAATATTTTAACCCCAGGGGAAAGACACATGCTCTGAGAGGCTTACAGTGGAAATACACATGTGGGGGTCACTCAGAGGAGGGATCATGCACACGGGAGGCACCTAGCCGACTCACAGGCAATAGACACTGGCGCCGACGTCAGGAGTGATGGAGGAACTCAAGGCTTGTGAGGCTTAACTGAGGAGAATATCACACATATCCAGTCCGTGGAGTGGAAAGCGAGCAAGGGAAGACACCTGAGCGGGTCCTAGTACCTGTTGGTTGAAGAGAGTACATGAGAGGACAGACTCCACTCGGAGATTGTAAAATCTGCCGAATGTGTTGGGTGTCGCACCCAGCCTGCAGCTCTGCAGATGTCTGTTAGCGAGGCGCCATGCGCTAGAGTCCAAGAGGACCCCACCCTTCAGGTATAGTGAGCAGTCACACCAAGGAGTCCCGGTCGACCTTGCTGTTGATATGCCAAAGCAATGGCGTCCACAATCCTTTGCTTGGAGAGAGCTTTTTCCCTTCAGTTTCCCACCATAACAGACAAATAGCTGGTCTGAGCTCCTGAAACACTGGCTGCATTTACACTGCAGGTCTTGATGCCCAAATCCGATTTTCTGACTATATCCGATTTTTTTGACGACCTGCTTACATCATCTTTTAAAAGTGACCCATATCCGATTTTTGCATTCACACTATACACTGCTGAAACTACCAAATACAGACGTTCTGATGGTTCTGAACCGGGAAATTAAGCAAAACAGCACGAAATTCAATGGATGCAGATGCGAATTAAATTATCCAGTGTCTTCTTTCCACAATATTTCAATAAGTCATCAAAACATTGGTGTCATACGGCGGAGAAAAAAAGAGGAGAGGCTCTGGCCATGAGCACTTAAAACGATGCCTCATATCTTGTGAAACGTCTTCAAAAACGGATTTATTTCTGTAACAACCCTGCATTTTTGCCTGCACTCTTCACCCCAAACACTCAAAAGACATTAAAACCGCGCAGTTTTTAATGACGCATGACTCGCATTTACTGGGGAATATCCCGATTTGTCTGCTTACATGGCACACGCAAATGCACGTATCTGATTAATATCCGATTTATTACCGCATATGAATGAGGTCAGAATCCGATATGAGAAAATCGGAATCCATGCGTTTTTTTCCTGCTTACACGTTCACCGGTCATATCCGATCTGTGCCACATGAGAGGAAAAAATCGGATTTGGGTCACTTGAACCATGCAGTGTAAACGAGGCCACTGTGTCCTGTCTACGTAGGCACGAAGAGTGCGTACTGGACAGAGCAGTGTCAAGGCTGAGTCTGCCTCCTCCCAGGGCAGCGCTTGCAGGTTCACCACCTGGTCACGAAAGGAAGTGGTGGGAACCTTGGGCACATATCCAGGCTGGGGTCTCAGGATTAGGTGAAAATAGGCCGGCCCGAATTCCAGGCAATGCGTGCAGGTCCCCTACCCTCTTAATGAAGGCCAATGCAACCTGTCTTAATTGACAGGAACTTAAATGAACTAAAAGGGAGCACTCTGCAGGGCAGTTAGGACCACTGAGAGGTTACAAGAGGGAACAAGAGGAGGATGAGGAGGATTCCGTCTCCTCATTCCTCTCAGGAACCTGATGATCAGGTCATGCTTTCTCATGGACTTACCTTCAGCTGGGTCATGATGTGCAGCGATAGCAGCAACATAGACCTTCAGGGTGAAGGGAGACATCCTTCGCTCCAAGCTCTCTTGCAGGAAGGAAAGCACAACACTGATCGAGCAATTTCTGGGGTGTTCTCGGTGAGAAAAGCACCAGGAGATGAAGAGGTTCCACTACTTCAATGCGTAGGCGTGTCTTGTGGAGGACACTCTAGCGCAGGGGTGCTCAATCCTGCTCCTGGCGATCGACTGTCCTGCACAGTTCATCTCCAACCCTAATCAAACACAGCTGAATGTGATCCTAAAGACCTTAATTGGCTACTTCAGGTGTGTTTGATTAGGGTTTGAGATGAACTGTGCAGGACAGTCGATCGCCAGGAGCAGGATTGGGCACCCCTGCTCTAGCGGAAGTGATTACCGCTGGTGGTAGGGTATTCAAACCTGCCATGTCCCATCCAGGAGGCACACTTGAAGGTTCCAAAGATGGGGACGAAGGTGCCATAGGGTTCCCCGTTCCTGAGAAAGGAGGTTCTTCCTCAGAGGAATTGGACAGGGAGGTGCTGTCATGAGGACTATAAGGGGAGGTCCTGTCGTGAGGACTAATGTCTCTAAGAACCAGGTCCGGGTGGGCCAGTGTGGCGTGACCAGAATGACCTGCTCCATAACGTCCCCGAACTGGTCCCAAACCAGCAGGGGGGTGCTGAAGCTGTGGGAGCTCATAGGCTGCACAGATCAGGGCTCCAGGAATAATGTCTCGAAGCGACCTCAGATGCGTTTGACTCCATAAGAGGTGGCGGTATAGAGTTGCGACATACGGCGGGAGTGCAGACCACCTTGATGGAAAATGTATGCAACTGATGCGGTAATGTCAGAGTGGGCTAGTACGCGTAGACCTTGAGCAACACAAGAGTGGTGCAGAACAAGGCATTCTGCCATCAACTCGAGGCAATAGACATGCTAAGGGTGCAAGGTCTTGTCCAGGACCTGGCGGCAGCGTGTCCATTGTGCATGGCGCCCCAGCTCGTGGTGGAAGCATGTGATGAGAACAACATGCCCGGAAGCTCGTTCCAGGGGCACTAGCACGTAGAAACCGAGGTTCGACCACGGTGGGAAGGTCTGACGGCAGGTCAGAGTAACTGGTACTCGGAGCACACCGTGTTGCCATGCCCACCTCGGGACTCGGTCGCGTATGAACAATTCAAGCATATGAGCATATGAGCAATCCAAGCGGCGATGTTGCAGGCTACGGATGTCATATGCTCCAGGAGCCTCTGAAAAAACTTCCCGCACTCTTGCACTTGATTGTCTCAGGCAAGTCAGCAGTGGCTGAGTGGAGAAGGCAAACAAGTCAATACCGAGAAAAGAGATCCTCTCTACGGGGCAAAGTTTACTTTTTCCCCAGTTGATCCGAAGGCCCAGATGAGCTAGGTGCCGGAGCACTGGGTACCTGTGTTTGCAAACCTGGTCTCGAGAGTGAGCTAGGATAGCCAGTCGTTGAGAAAGTTCAGAATGCGAAACCCTGTTTTCCCATGAAGGAACAAGGGCTGCATCGACAACCTTTGTGAAGGCGCGTAGAGACAGGGCTAGTCCGAATGGGAGAACAGCTTACTGATATGCGCATCCCCTGACAGCAAACCATAGGTATGGTCTGAGTCGAAGGAGAACGGAGACATTAAAGTAGGCGTCCATCAGGTTGATCGCTGCAAACCAATCCAATTAGAAACTGCGTTTGGCCTGGAGTATCATGAATGTGAAGGGGGTTCAGGATTGGCCGTAGCCCACCGGATTTCTCCGATACATTGAGGTAGGGGCTGTAATACCCAGACCTCATTTCGGTCGTACCCTTCGCCAATAGGGTAGCAACCTCTGCTCTCATGATAGGGGCATAGCCACCGACCATAGTGGAGCGGACTTCCCTGAAATGGGGAGGAGACCGTGCGAACTGAATCGCATAGCCAAATCAATGGTTTGCACAACCCAGTGGAACAGATTGGGAAGCTCTAGCCAGGCTCCCAAGAACTGTGCGAAGTCAAGCGAACCACAGACGTCCCCTCAGTGGTACAGTGAAGCGGAATGACCGGCCGGACGTGGACAGCATAGCGGCCTGGCTCATCTCATAGAGCGAAGTCAGAAATAGCTGTGGAGTGAAGAGATACTCTTGGCTCCGAAGTTAAATGGCCTTTAAAGATATGTACTGTAAAGTACATGCAATAAGAGCAATAAATTCAATATATTTACGCTTTATTTTAGTGTCAGTATTACAGTGTATTAAGTTTCTTTCCACTAGTCTAAAACAACACGTTATGAAAAACCAAATAGCCCCAAATTGACCAGTGCATAATTTTTTTTTTTTTTTTGCTTTTAGTGTCTTGCCTTTAATTCATTGACATGATCTTTCCAGTCAGTGATTTCCTGTGATCTCTAAAATTCTGATTTCCTCCTTATCCTTTTCTTTCCCCTCCCCACATTCCCTCTGCTCTCCACCTGTTGCTGTTTTCCTTCTCTCCAGGTTGAGCAAAGATGGGAATTATTCTTGCCTCCTCGATGCCCAAAGGCTCAATGATTTGCAGAAATGCATGTGCAACTTCAAAAAGCACATTAACCTTCTGTTGCAGGAAAACAAGGGGTCATTACTCAGTCCCATTTCTGAAGTGAGAACTGATGTGAATCTGTGAGGATCAGTGAATGAATTGGCCAAACATCATGGCAACTGTGTCAAAATGGCATGAAGTCCTTGTATGTGCCCGGTTTCCTCCTGAGTTTGTTGTGTGTTTTCTGTGCTTTCTTAAGCTCTTATCATGGCAGTGGCTGTTATAGTCACCTCAAGCAGCTTTTAAAAAGTTTGCTTACATCAGTAAGACATATTTCTACTAGGGTACAAGGGACTCATGTGATCTCTTCCTGTGTAGATTGCCGCTTTTATCGCTGAGTCCCTGCAGAGTTGCGGAGGGCAGGTCATTCCTCCGGTGGGCTACTTCCAGAAAGTGGCACAGTATGTACTACCAAGTGCTTAACTGGCTCTGAATGAAGCAGTTTAGTTACATGATTGCAGCTCGTCTGCTTCACCCAATAAGTGACACATTTAATTTATAGGGTATAGGCTAATATAGAACTATTTGCATTCCTCTTTTCTAAGCTTTCTTAAAGGTTCTGCCATTTGTGTCTGTAAATTCAGCTAATTTTATCCCAAATTATCCCATTTAATCCTAAAGGTCACAATACATTTCTAAGGCTATAAAAATGCTACTGAATCTTTCAATGCATTTCCAGCAGATATTGAAATAATTAAGGGTCTCAATGAAATATGTGCAGTGTTGCATGTTTACTGTAAATAGTCACATGACCAGAGCTCTTTATTTCCTGTTTGTGCCAAGAGAAGAGGATGGCAGCAAGAAAGCTCCCAAATAAAAGATTAGTAAAGTGTGTTAACATAAAGATAGGACATATATTTTTGGTACACATCATGTTTAAGGTGTCTAGTATTGATATATGCATTTGCAATTACTCATCTTTGCTCAATGTGTTCATAGAACTCACAAACATGTCAACTACAATAATAGTTATCGGTGGGATAACCCATTGTATCTACTGTACATGCTAATACACAAAGGCTAACTGTTCAACCTTACTTTCTTCTGCTACCTAACTTACTACCTAATTTTATATACAGACACATTCACAGAAACACACACACTCACACATCACACACACACCTCGCACGCCACACACACGCACACCACACACCCCACGCACACCACACACTCCAAGCACGCCACACACAACCCCAAACACACCCTACACACACCCCACACACATGCACACCACACACACGCACATTACACACCCGTAAACCACACAACACACCCCACATGCACACCCCACACGCATGCACACAACACACCCTGCACACCGCAACACACCCCACACGCACACCCCACACACTCACCCCACACGCACACACGCACACACACCCCACACCGCAACACACCCAACACCCCACACGCATGCACCCCACACACTCACATCACACACCCCACACCACACACACATGCACACCACACGCACATCACAGACCCGTACACCACACAACACACCCCACATGCACACCCCACACGCAAAACCCCACACCCCACACGCATGCACACAACACACCCTGCACACCACAACACACCCCACACGCACACCACACACCCCACACGAACACCCCACACACTCACCCCACACGCACACACACCACACACGCACACACACCCCACACCGCAACACACCCAACACCCCACACGCACGCACCCCACACACTCACATCACACACCCCACACCACACACACATGCACACCACACACACGCACATCACAGACCCGTACACCACACAGCACACCCCACATGCACACCCCACATGCAAAACCTCACACCCCACACGCATGCACACAACACACCCCACACACCGCAACACACCCACATGCACACCACACACCCCACCACGCACACCCAACACACCCCACACACACCCCACCACGCATACCCCACATGTACGCACACCACACACTTCGCACACTGCAACACACACGCACACCAAACACCCAACATGCTCACATCACACACCCCACACGCATGCACACCACACACCCCACACACCACAACACACCCCACACGCACACCACACACCCCACCACGCACACCCAACACACCTCACCACGTATACCCCACATGTACGCACACCACAAACTTCGCACACTGCAACACACACGCACACCACACAGCCAACACGCTTACATCACACACCCCACACCACACACCCCACACACATGCACACCACACACACGCACATCACAGACCCGTACACCACACAACACACCCCACATGCACACCTTACATGCAAAACCACACGCATGCACACCACACACCCCGCACACCGCAACACACCCCACACGCACTCCACACACCCCACACACACCCACCACGCATACCCCACATGTACGCACACCACACACTTCGCACACTGCAACACACACGTACACCACACACCCAACACGCTCACATCACACACCCCACATGCACACCCAACATCAAACCCCATATGCACACCCAACACCACACACCCCACCACGTACCCACGCACGTACCCACACGTACGCACGCACACTACCACACACCATACAAACCCAACACACTGCACGCACACCACAGAGCCCGCACGCACACCACCCCACATCCCACACGCACGCTCACCACACACACATACCACAAACCCCAACCACACACACACAAACACCTATAATCAGTCTGTCCAATGGTTGATACAACACGGTATCCCCACTGGTCACAATTGTGACCGATCATAAAACTCACTTTTTTTACACACTTGTCGGTGAAAATTTCAAAAAAATGTGATTGATTGTTTCAATGGGATACTAATGACACAAGATTTGGATATTTTTGTGTCTGTGAAAATTTGGGATTAAATGGGTTAAATTTGACATTAATTTAAATGTTGACTGTTTTATTTAAACGTTTTATTTTGTTTTTAAATTACTTTTTAATTACCAAAACATATTACAGTATATAGTCTTAAATTTTTGGTCTAATAAAATTATACCTTTTTATGCTGTGCCCATTTATGAGTCACTTTGCATCCAAGTATACATTTGTATTATAATGCATGTAGCATAAGAAATACATGTTTCTGAAATATGCATGCATATACATTCCAATTTGTGTGTACCATACCTTTTGCTTTACCACAGGCATGTGAGAAATGCAGGAGGCATATTCATTGCTGATGAGGTGCAGGTGGGCTTTGGCAGGGTGGGCACCCACTTTTGGGCCTTCCAGCTACAGGGAGAAGATTTTGTACCAGATATTGTTACAATGGGCAAACCTATTGGAAATGGTCATCCAATGTCATGTGTGATTACCACCAGAGAGATTGCTGAAAGCTTCATGTCATCTGGAATGGAGTACTTCAACACAGTGAGGACAAAAAGAAAACTTATTTTGACAATGGCAGGCATGAAATAATACAGATTAAGACTGAAACAACATTTGAAAATAAAGCTATTTGCATAGTTCACATTTATAACATATGCGTACGTACAGATTTGACTTAGAGTGTGTGTATGCTAAAATCCACACCAAATGTTCAGGTGTAAAACGGTCTTTGAAGGCCACGTCAATCAGACGTATGCACTTTTCCGGAATAGGCTACTGCAGATATTTGGAAATCTAAGCAATTCTTGCCGCTCAACATTCTCACGTAAATGATTTGAACGTTGACTGGTGCTCTTTTATATGTTAATGATATTAATTAGGCTGTGTTAGGGAGAGATATAAAATCATTTATCCGTGCACAATTTCAAGATCATTTGCGATTTTAAAAATGTTATATCTAGAAGAGAGGCGTACGCACATTTGAGAAATGATTGTAAGATTTCTACGCAACATTTTTGGGATGAGACTGTGTTAGTGCAACAAATATAGGGACTAGAGCAAAAAATCTTATGAAACACAAAAAGCAAATGGCTAAAAAATGTTCGTCTTGGTGTCCTCTAGTTTGGCGGTAACCCAGTATCATGTGCTATTGGATTGGCGGTGCTAGATGTAATTGAGAAGGAAGATCTCCAAGGCAATGCCCTGCATGTCGGAGGTTATCTGACTCAGCTTTTGGATGATCTGAAGAAAAGACACCCCTTAGTAGGTGACGTGAGGTTGGTTAACTCCCTCCTAACTTCTAAAAATTGTAAAATCAGTAATTGATGGACATGATCAGATTAATGCCATCATTTATTTATTAGCAACAAACTCTGCAGAGTAAATAAAGTTAGTGAGTAATAATGTGTCACGGTGGAACCTTGACCATGTTTGCGTAAGATTATTGAAATTACATGGCCTCTTTATGTTGCAAGTCTTGTGTAAATCATTTCCCTGGGGTTGTTTGTGAAGGTGGTACACTTGTAATAATGCTGACGTGAGTATGTCTGGAGCACACATTGCCAGGAAGTTTAAAGGTGCAGGTCAAACATTTTGTTTTTTTTAGGGGCCGTGGCCTGTTTGTTGGGTTGGAGCTGGTAAGAAACCGGGATAAGAGAACACCGGCCACAGCTGAAGCTCAGGATGTTATCTACAGGTGAGAATGAGTCATGAATGTAAAAGAGGAATTTTTGAAAGTTTAATAGGTTTATGAGCATACCATGCATATGATGCATAGCCTAGCCACATAACTTGGCACATTAAAAGTAGGGTAGGCAATTTCAGAGAGACTAGCAATAGCAAGCTAGCTTTTAAAGCATAAGATCCCACTCTCCCTTCAAAGCCACACCTCCTTCAAAACACATGATCACGCACAGCCAGAGCAGAGTCTGTAAAGCTTTACGAGAGACAGCGTTAAATTACCACGTCTCAAACAACATAATAGCTCTGACTACTACATTCATTTCGGCATTGGTATTGTTGCCATAGAAACACATCATTCCAAGGCCATGAACAGAATATCACGGATCGTCATCTCTTCATCACGGTAGTTAGGGCATTGCATGAAGACAGCATAAGCTTGTTGTTTTGGTTCAGGCGAAACAGTAAAAGATGACTGCTGTTTTTTTGTGGTGCTCGATGCCTGTCTGTCTACAACTCTGCATAGCCTCATGGAACGTGCTGAATCTGATAATGTGTTGTTTGCGTATGGAACTACAAAGATCGACAGGCTGGTAGGGCATCAAAAATGACAAAAATGTTTTAGTACCGAGACTTCCACAGATATGTACATTTTAATATTTAGAGTTTCAACCAATATAAAATAACTATTTATGAAAAACATTGCCTACCCTACTTTTCAAATTTAATTAAATTATATAAATATAGAACTGCACAGAAAGTGGTCGAATAAGAATGGACCTTCAAAAAAAAAAATATATATATATATATTATTATTTTTTTTTTTTTTTTTTAAGACTAAAAGAGCAGCGGATTCTACTCAGTGCAGATGGCCCACACCGCAACGTTCTGAAGTTCAAGCCTCCTATGTGCTTTACTAGAGAAGATGCTGAACTTGCTGTGGAGAAGATTGACCAAATTCTGACAGGTACTTTTAGTAACACAAAACCTGGATTAATGAATTTTGGTTCACACGGCTCATGGTAATTTGTTCTTTATTCTTTTGTTTTAGACTTAGAAAGGGCTTTGGGCCTTCACATGCATGAAGCAGTAATCTCTGAGAATGGACACAGTAAGAGAAAGGTAAACTTGCAGTTTACCTGTAAGGTAGGTACCTGTTACCTGCAGGTAGTTTGTAATAAACCACTTAACATAGAATCATAAGGGAATCAAACAACCAAGATGATTTGTTCTTTGCCTTTTGGTCCCAAGGAACCCAGTGATGAAAATAGCCTGGTTCATGCCTCAAATGACAGCAGCCATGAGCACGCCAGCACAATACCTCACAGCAAAAACAACAAGAAGAGACTAAGAACCTATTGAAACATCAGGGGAAACAACTGCTTTAAATTACTTTTTAATTATGTCTGTAACATTTTCCATGTTTTAATGGATCTACAATTAATCTGTATGAACATTAAATTGCCATTTATTTTAGTGGTGTCATTCAGAACTGTAAAATATTACCTCTCAGTGAAATAAAACTATCCAATACGATAATGATGTTAGAATAGTATTAGCTTTCACACACAGAAAGCTATAAAGGACTAAAAAGGAACATAAGAGTGATAAGAAGCTAATAAATCATTATATGTACATGCCATTATGGTTTTCTGTGTTGTGACCAGAGACACCTGCTGGAGCTGGTTAGTTTTGTGGGAGATAATAGTTTAAATGTATCTGTAAGCCTGTGCAACTGCACGCATACCTGAACAAATGCGCACTTCAGCAGGTTCTGCTGTCTGCCACAGTAAAACAGCAGGAGAATCACTCCTGTGGAATAGTAATGGACCCTCTAGAAAAAAGACAACATGGAGGGGGAAAAACTGATGTAGAATGAAAGATCATTTTTAGAATATTTAAAATTACATCTAGAAAAATAATTGTCAGTTTGTAGTTTATATAGGTGCTGATGGCCTATCCGTTGAATTTTATTTACATTTTTCTTAATGCAACCTAGTTTGTTTAAATGATGTATTAGAAAAGGAGAGATGACTTCCACAATGAATCAAGTTCTTATTACTCTGATTCCCAAAACCAATAAAGACCCACTTTTAACTGAGAACTGGAGACCAATATTGCTGTTAAATGTTTATAAATCACTTGCTTTAACATTTGCAGTTTGTATAAAATCAGCCCTTAATGGTAAAGCCTAATTAGCGAAATACAACATGGATTTATGAAAAATAGACATAGGTCCAATATAAGATTATTTCTGGATCTCATTGATTATTCAGAGAATATTTTTATGTTTTGGGATTTTTATAAAGCATTTGACTCTTTAGAACACCATTGCTTAAATCTCTCAGCGTTTTTGGTTTTGGATTTACTTTTATCAACATGGTGAGAATGCTTTATATGACATTAATTTCTCAGGTTTGGTTAGTGATATTTTGTCATTGATACACCATATACCAGTAAAAGACAGTATCAAGTACCTGGGGATTGTCCTTACTAAAGATAGATTGCTACTTGTTGGCTACAACAAAATCAGTGGTAAGAGTTCTTATATCCAAACCAGAGGTTTATCCCTATGTGTTTATGTTTATCCCTCTCTATCCTTTAATCCTCTATCCTTTTGTTAATTGTCACTAACAAATGTTAGTGACAATTGTGATGATATTGACAACATGTTATTGAAGTTTATTTGAAGAACATATCACTATCACAGTTAGGAAATCTGTTTTGCCTAATAGACGTTCTGAGGGTGGACTGGAAGTTTTTCATTTTAAAAAAAATAATCAGCTCCTTGAGAATTGTTTAAAAAATGTCTTTGTAGTAATGACCTTAATTTGGTACTATATCCCCAATATCATATTTCATAGATTAGGTGACTTAGAGTTTCTTTTAAAATGTAATTTCTCCCCTTATAAATGACTGATTTCTCTCTCTAAATTTCACCAACGAGTTTTACTTGAGTGCATATTGTGCAACATGCAAAACTTTTCTCACAAAGAAATTCTGTGGAATACTTCAAACATTTTAATCCGAAATAAATACTTTTCCGAAATGGTAACACTTTATTTGAAGGGGTGTGCATAAGACTGTCATGGCACGGTCATAAACATGACATAACACCTGTCATGAACATGAAGGATTCTTTATGAATGTTTTTGACTGTTGTCATTAAATGTCATTCGGTAAATTATGACACTTTTAATGCAAAGTTGACATTGTTTAAAATGTCTTTGTTATGACAACTTGACATTAACAAAGACAAAGTCTTTGTCATGGCAACTTGATATTAACAAAGACAGAAATGTCTGTTATGACAACTTGACATTAACCAAGAAATCATAACTAGTCCAACGTGTTCCACTTTACTTGAGGTAAGGGGAAATATTAATGACACTGTTGTTAAAGTATTTGATAGTGTAATAACCCTTAAGCACATCTTTATAACTAGTACAATGTGTTCCACTTTACTTGAGGACAAGTAAAATATTCATGTCACAGTTATAATGGTGTCATGACAACCAAAGTTAAAACCAACAATAACATATGACAGGGACAGGGTAATGTAATGTTAACACAAAGCTAAATAACTTCTTTAAGTTTGATAATTAGATCTGTTATGTCTGTTATACCTGTTAATGTCAAGTTGTCATAACAAAGACATTTTTGTCTTGGTTAATGTCAAGTTGTCATAACAAAGACATTTTTGTCTTGGTTAATGTCAAGTTGTCATAACAAAGACATTTTACCAAATGACACTTAATGACAACAGTCATAAACACTAATAAAGACTCCTTCATGTTCATGACAGGTGTTATATCATGTTATGACAGTGTCATGTCAGTCTTAAGCACACCCCTACAAATAAAGTGTTACCTTTTTGGTTTACAGCTTTCAGTGGAAGAGCATGGTTACTCCCTGAAAAAACACTGTATGTCCAATAAGATAAGACAGGTACACTTCAAGATTCTACATAATGTCTATCTAGCCAACTCCCAGATTTCTACTTTTGTTAATCTTTCTAACATATGTGTATTTTGCAAAGTTGAGGAAGAAACAAGAAACTTCATTGCAATCAGGTTAAATCTTAGAAACTTAATTTGTCATCTTTCTCCTTTTATAAAATGTGATTTAAATTTTTCATTCAAAGATACATATCTTTATTTTTCTAAGAGACTATGCTATTACTCTTGTTATTTTATTTGTGTTGCATTATAAATATTTTATTCACAAAAACAAATTTCTCAGTACATTGCCTAGATTTGATGTCTTTAAGAGATTTTACAATAAGGGAGATCTCAGCGATAAACTCATTGTTTAGAACAAGAACAAGTTTCTAAAGAATTGTGACAGTATTTTATCTTACTGGTTGAGGTTTTTTTTTTTTTTTTTTTTCATTTTATGTTAGTGTACACAATGCAGTGCTGTTTCTTTCTTTGCAATAAAAATAGAGCATTTAGTCTTCAGTGCTGCTCTCTAGTGTTCGAAAGTTATCAAAACATCCAAGGTGACAATATAAGCCTTATTGCATTTTAAATCTATTAAATGAAATAAAAATAAATAAATAAACTTCCATTTTAAATAATATTTAACTTTTTCTAAATTTTTACATTTTAGTAAAAGTTTGACAAATCAAATAATTCATTGTGGGAAGTACATTTGTTTATTATAGAAAAAACTGCACATCAAACAGCCACATTCAAGGGTTTTCACAGAGCAGGCTGTCTACAAAATAACAGTAAAATGAGATATTCCAAAATTGATTTAGCTTGACCACAACAGTGATTTTCAAGGGCATCAATATAATACTGACCACCCTTTGGACTTTATAGAAATGTGATAAAATGTTTTTATCAGCACTGTCAAGATGTAAATTTAACACAATAAGAGTACGACACATTGCATGTGTCAAAAAAACAAACAAAAAAAAAAACAATAAGGGAGGAGATTTCTGCCAGTGGAAATAATTCATCAGCATTTGATTGAGTCATTGGCACTGAAATGGTTTTCTGTGTGTTCTCTTTCATCTCTCCAGCAGATTGCAGCTTTAACCCATAAGGTAACCACTGCAAGACAAACACATTCAGTCAATCATCAAAAGCAAGACAACAGAGATTAATCTTAAACCAAACTATGATGCATGCATGTATACAGTTTTAAAGAAACAGCTAAAACATTGCTGCTATCTCCCTGCTATACGCTGAGAATAACAACATCATGTAGCTCCAAGCAGAAATTAATGGACCCAAACACAACACAACTACTACAGTAAGTAATTAAAGACAGTTTTAGATTATTTGAGCCAAAATGGATACAAATCATAAATAGAATCACTTTTAATATGATTTAATTACTTATTAAATCATCTGAGCTTATTTTTTTTAACAGCAGATGGCACTGCGTGCTTAGAAACAGCCATACTCTGCTTGCTTCCAATTACACACCACTTAAACCTTCTATAAAATAATAATCATTCATAAAGTTCGAAAAGGTTGAAGCAAATTACGGGTGTTTGCAGTAGGCTGTTTACATTAATTTCGCGTCATAAAAGCATTCTGAGGTGCAAGTACATTCTCAAACTTAGCCGAACACACGAGCGCTCTTCTTTTGGCTCGTTTCCACTGAGGGGTACGGTACAGTACAGTATGGTACGGCTCGGGTCGGGTACACCATGATCAGGCATGCGTTTCCACCGCCAACAGTACCCTTACTTGATAGGCGTGGTATGCTGGAAAGAAGCGATCGACGTCATTTTCGCGCGAAGAAAGCGACATAGTAAACAATATTGGATGACAGACAGCAGATCTTGTTCTTGCTTCTCGGCATGTTTGTCACTAGAAACAAGTGCTGGCATTAGGCGTTTCCAAGAAGCCAATGCAAAGTCCGACTCAGGAGAATGATCCCAAGGACGCGAGTCCAGTAATTGTGTTAATGTAACAGCGCGTTCTTGAACGCGGCACTCTGCTCGCTCTGGCTCTGCGACTCCGGTTATCTCTGTATGTTCATTTTAGGCAACAATAAAACGAAATATGTTATAAAACACCACTCTGCTTCTTTTCGATTTCATTTCAATACATTTTAAACATTCTAAAGCACACAAATGTGGTTCAGGCAACACATAGCCTATTGATTATATTTACTGCATGTATGTAACGTTATATTTATAACAAAACTAAATATAAAACAACCCTGCCTCTTTTCGTTTAAATTTAAAAATATTAAACATATTCCAGGCAATGTGTAATGCAATGTATTGCATATCGCATTGGTACAAATGTTGCAATAAACAACAGATAATCTTGTAATAAAATAAAAAAAGACAAAACTATCTCAATTTCAGTTTTATCAATAATAGCCATTATAAAAGTATAAGTAAAAGGTACAAAAAGATATACAGTAAAGCTTTAACATCAAGAAACAATTCAGTCAGTCAAATAGGCTATACAAATTCAGCGCTCAAAGATATGAAACTTCACGTAGCCTTCTGCCAAAACTATTGGCTAGGGAACGAGTTAAAGATTCACGAGACCAAAGATCACCTGTTAGGTCTGTACAAGACGAACTATATCTCATGTTTAACCACTACAGACAGAGACGTCCGCGTCAGCGGCAAACATCAGAACGACTAGCCGAGGAAAGGCTCTTCGGCGGGGGACACGAGCGCGAGCGTCCGGTGATCGATTGGAATGGATCTCAGTCAAATTATGATAAATCTATAAATAAACCACAGATTTGATCTTTAAAAAACTACTTTCTCGCCTGAAAAACTCTTAAAACTACATTTCGTGACAAAATAACAGTAGAATTATATTTCAACTGTATGCTTCTAATGCCCTTGTAGCGCACGCGAGTGACGATACTCTGCCCACCAATCACCGTTCTGCAGTGAGTCTAGCTCCACCTTTTAGTACCCTTTCACTGTGCTAGGTACCCCAACGGAAGGGTACCCAAAAAGTGGTACGGTACGGTTCGGCTTTTTGGTACCATTCACAACTTTTGACAGTGGAAGCGCAAATAATTGCGTACCGAACCGAACTGTACCGTACCGTACCGTACCACTCAGTGGAAACGAGCCATTAGTGAGCGTTTGAGCGTGTGGTTAAAAACTAG